TTCCTGCTCTGCTTTAGACTGAAAGGTCAGCAGCAGATGTCATCCCCCCAGAAAAGTAGACTGTTCTTGTACCATTCCCTATACTATTTCAGGTAACTAGATCTGAACTCAGAAACAATTCACAACTTCATAAATAATGATGAAATAAGTAATTTCCAAATACATATACAAGACGGTATCAAATTATAGCAGTTCAAAGTATAATTGAACTTCCATGATGCTGCACCACACATATTGCTTTAGCAGAGTCAACTTTTCAAGTCTCAAGGAAGGCAGTAAAATTCAATTTATTAACCTCAGTTATAAGTATTCACCAACTACTCAGTGAGGTCACACAAATAATTTCTTTTCTGCATGTGTTTGCCTTAGTATCTTCTGAGAATACCAAGTTATTTTTCTTGCTTTGTGCAAGTCTCAGAGGTATTATGTAGCTTCCCCAATTCCCAAATCGCCAGGAATTTCACAATTAAGTCTGAGGAAGAGCTGTCACAATGCTGAGAAGTTTTATTACATAAGCATGGAATTTTGTGCTAGAATACTTAACATGGGACATAGCTGTAGTGTTGTATGACTGATTTTCAATCCTGTGCTTGTAACATTGCTGCCCACATTTGACTTATGAACCAGCCCTAAAGCTGCTGACAGTTACAATCCGGGAAAAATCCTCAGATTTTGACCACAGTCAGAGAAAGAATGTTGGGTAGACAGACAGACAGTTGGTCTTAGTATGGTTGCTCTCATGTTCCTATGAAGATTAAAGTCAGCTGTCTATCCCATGCACCAACAGAGACTAGAAATGCCTCTTCAGCTCACTGGCACCAGTCTTCTGCATAACCTCTAAGCAGCCCCCAGCCACACAGCCACCCTGAAGCAAGAGTGACACATTTAGGCATGGCTGAGCAATGGCATGGCTCCTACAGAAATCAAATTGGCCTGCATTTGCATTCTGGCTACTAGACATAGCAAGCTGCAAGCTGAATTAATGTGGTCTTATAAACAGGTCCACTGTTAAAGAATTATTACACCTGAAAGGTAAGAAATACGTTGTACTCAGATCTGCTGAAGTCTATACATCATCTGTATTTTCAGCTTACTCAAGTCAAATAGTCAATCCAAAACCATGCCAGCCATACAGAAAGAAACAAATGGACTTTGTATAAACATGCTTTGTGATAATGAGTTCCACGTTACCTCAAGCCCTTTTATCCAAAGCCAAGCATCTTGCAAATTTTCCTCATTAACTTCAGCAAGATTCTCTTGCCATGGCACTGCTTGGGCACTGAATTTCACAAAGTTAAATCTCTTTTTGTGTCGCAGCTGTTCCTGGAAGAGAGCATCAGAACTTTACTCAGTGTTAAAAGAAAGAATACTTGTATCCTTAAATATGGACCAGTAAGAGTTGATTTAGTTAACATATAGTTGATAACATGTTTACAATAAATTATGAAAATATTCAGTTATGGTGTACAGAGAGACATGAAGAGACAGACAATTATTGCCTGATATTATTAAGATTACTTGAACTTCCCAATGTAAGTCTCCATTTACTCGTATTTCTCAGACCACAGCAAGTCTCTAGAAGGGCAAGAAAAATAGACACAAAACTGGGTTTAAACAGTGCTATAAGGAAGATTATGACAGCTTGCCAAGGAAATTGAAACCAGAAACAAAAGTAAGACATTGTTTAGAGGAGAACAATAATCAAATGTAGAGCACTGGCAAGGGGAACCTGGAGAGTAAAAGAGTATTAAGGAGAGAAATTGCTGAAGTTGCTTTTGGACAGAAGTTATAAGGAGGGGAAGATTTGTGCAAGCTAGTGCAAACTTTCAAACATGTCCTATGACTCGTGCACCTAGCTCAAAAACACTTCTGTTACAGTTTTAACTTTTCTATCCCTACCGATTGCTATCAAGGCCAAACTGATGGAATTTTTGTGAGTTACTCCTCTCAGATCTAAAAAAAGTTAAGATTAATCATGTTTTAAAAGGCTGTTTCTCTCAAATATTCATGTAAGCTTAAGTGATATCATTGCAGATTTCTAAAACTTGGTGAGATAAACCCTATCTTAGGTGGGTCTCACAGTACTCACTGCTTTTGAGGTACTTCCACACTTTGGAAGTTCCTTTGCAAAGCTCTGAGCCACTGTAAGATGCAAGCAAGTCCAAAACTTTCTACACTCTATTGTAAAAGTAAGAAAGTGAATCCAGAATACACACTACAAATCACAACGTGCCAGTGGAATTGGATGACAGTACTTAAAAATTAAAATGCCAAAAGGTGCTTCATTGTGTAGCTTTTTCTTTTTTTTCTTTACTTATTTTCAAGGGAGATGACTTGAGAGAAAGAAGAACTACTTAAGCTTTTTCAGTTTTTAACATTTTCTCCAAATTTTTTTCAAATATTTGTACAAATGAGGAGAAATACCAATAAAAACAAAAATATTTTTATAAACCTGCTATTTTAAAAAATCATTTAAAAAATAAAATAAAAAAAAATTAGATCAACAGCCATCCAGAAAAGATCAGCCTACTCTAAAATGCTCCTCAGCCTTTATAATCATAATTTGATAGTACCTGTATGAGCTGAAATATTTTTTCCTTCACCACTGGCAGCTTGTCCTCCATAGACTGGGATGTATCAATAAGGATATAGACATCATCTTCAACCACATTCCCAAAGAGCCCTCTGCTTCCTTGTTGAAGCCATTTAATCCTGAGGGAGGAAACAAAAAAAAATCAAAACCTGGTCTGTAAGATCTTCAGAGCTTTTGAGTATTAGAATCTAACAGTAAGGATCTTTTCATCACTGATATGCTTCTTTTTCCCTAAGCTCCTATTACTCGTGGCAGATTAGTCTTGATGAAACAATCCTCTGTCACTATTAACAACAGAAGGCATTTTTATTTTCTAGTTTCAGTAGGAATCTGGAGACAGACAAACCAGACCACGGAATACAGTACTGGTATAAAGTTAGTTATCAGGTAGTTTGAGTGAGGAAATCCCATGTGACAGTTACTGTAACTATTGCCCCTCTGACTGTTCATACCTCACTGTGAGGGTGGTCAGGCACTGCAACACGTTGCCCAGAGAAGTTGTGAAGCCCCATTCCTGGAAACGTTCAAGGCCAGGTTGGATGGGGCTTTGAGCAACCTGGTCTAGTGGAAGGTGTCCCTGCCCATGACAGGAGGAGTTGGAACTAGATGATCTTTAAAGTCCTTTCCAAGCCAAACCATTCTGTGACTCTAGGATTCTATGTTCTTCAGACTGAACTCAGGAAATCATTTAAGCATATGCTAACATGCCTCCCTTTTCAGGAAACCACTCAAGAACCTATTCTGCAAAGAACTTGAGCATTTTGAGGAGTCTTAATATAACACAGATGCCTCAGTGCTTTGCTGACCTTGAATCTCACAGACAGACCTTGTTTTACATATTAAACAGGATTGAAGCATGCCTGCCAGTTAAACATGTTCTTCTACACAGCAGTATTCATGCACATTTGCTCAGTAATGGCTGCAGCCAAAGTCTGATTTCCCCTGAGAGTCACAAACTGCTTGTCTACTCTGAAACAGAGACATTTAACAGATGGAATATAATGGCCCAGGGAAAAATAGTACTCACCTCCAAGGAGGTTTAAAAAATGGTATCATGGAAACTTAAAGGATCCTATTACATTTACTACCAACAGCTATTTTGCCATTAGTCATTTTCCCCAAAGTGTTTGATGAGGTCTACCACGGCCTTTTAATAATGAGATGACCATTCAAAACAGCCAACCCATAACACTGGCTTGGATTCGAAAAATATATACTCACCAAAACCCTTTACCTCAAATTTTCCTTTCATGGTATAATAATGTGATCTAAACACAGCAAGATCAAGATAAACTAAAAGGAATAACAAAACTCTGTTTGACCTTGCTAAAAGTAATCAGGCTGTTACACTTCTGGTAGAGAAGCAGCAATAAAATGAAAGTTCACATCCTGCTTTTTTCAGTGAGACATCTCATTGTCCTAATATACAACAAATATTTATTCTTTCTCTTGGCTCTACAGTATACATTTTCAAAGCTTCCTTCTTCTCCTAACGTAGACATAAAAGCCAATTTACTTTAGAGCTTTAGAGCATCTTTAGGGCAGACGAATTAGTCACTCAGATTGACCTTTTTTTTTTTTTTTTTTGTAGATGTCCTACAAAATCTAAGAGAGTGCCTAAACAGCTGCAGAAGAGTGAACTAGAGAGCTAGCTTGAGCACTGAACTTCTGAGCCTGACTTAATAGCTCACGCCCTGACTGATCTAGACTGTTCAGACCTGTCTTCAACACAGAACTGCAAAAAGGGCAGAGAGCAGACACAGTGTGAGCACAAGCCAAGCTGTGCCACTCGGCGCCGGCGCTGTCGCAAGGGATGCGAGCTAGTTTCACTGATGGTGCTGCAAGTTCTTTGTCACCTTATGTCGTGATGTTTTCGGGCACTTTCAGCAGTATTTCCCTAATGTGCAGATGGACTTTCACATTTGTGTTCCAGAATGAGAACAAAAGACAAAACTGTTGATCAGTTTTCTTACATGGCTACTAAGAAATCCCACACAAAAGACTGTGATCTAAAATGGATCTCTGGCTTAGTACTGCTACTGGCAGTTTACCAACCACTTCAGCTTATTATGACAGTAGATGTCAAACTTTTCAACACCGATGTGAAATAATACAAACTGATTTTATGTGAGAGAACACAAACCTTCCTTCCATGTGTCTGAGAGCCGTCCTCATTTTCTCTTTGTACTGCTTATACTTTTCTGTACTAACATACACGTGAACTACAGATCCATCTCTCCAGAAGGTATGGACAAACTTGTCACAGTACTTTGCATTAATTACCTTGCTCTTTGTCTCCTAGAGCCAAGAAAAACACGTTTCACCTTCCAGAACACATTATTTTGCAGTGCCTTGAATATTTGGTGAACAAACTTCAAAGGTACGTGCTTGCTGAACATGAACAGGTGCAGAAATAGACATGTGATAGAATGGTCACAGAATTTGCTCCTAGTAAAAGTCAATAGAAACTTTTTTTATTCTTTTAGCTAGTGAGAATAGAAGCTTACCAAACAGTGTAATGATAGAGCTTGACAAAAACAAATAGAAGACAAATGTATCCAAATTTGTTTAAGGACCTGCAAACACTGGAGCAGCTGAGGCTCAACACTTCTAAATAAAGATGACAAGTAATCTTCACCCTACCCCAGACAAATACATAGAAAACAAAGGCATTGCTTAAGCCACTCCCAGTTCTTCCTTGCAGGTTATATCTAGACCAGGAAGGAGTCCTTGAAACGGTCATTTTCAAATAGCCCTTTGAAATAATTATTTATGACCACCTTGGTCCCATTTGACTAATAAGCCAATTTTAACAAAAACTATGAAGCAACAAATGATACACTTGATCATAAATTCATCTATCACTCAAGTTTTCCAGCTTTAACAGAAAAATCAAACAGCTCCCATGATGTGAGGGAAAATTAGCAATACTCACAGCATCAGTTTGTGAAGATTCGTCCTCTGGTTTAGTTTTTATGTCAACAATCCCATCTGCATGGCGAAAAGTACAGTCAGCAAGTGCATCATACAGTGTGAGCTTCTGAGCTTTCAAGCCATACTTCTGCAACCACTTCCCAGAAGTCAGATATTTGTCAGATGTATGCTTCTGTAATGGACGATCAGCTTTGGTTGCTAATAAAGAAAATAAACCGAACAAAATCTCATTTACAACACAGCTCATTTTGGATAAGCTGTTTTCAAAACCAGCCTATGATACTGGAGTAAGAATTTTCAGATGTGTTTTGCTTGCCCTGACAGTATTGGAGTGTGTGGATATTTCTGACTGACTTTTAATGCACTCTAGTTTGGTCATGGGTTTTTTCTTATCAGACAATTCTTCACAACAAATTTCTTTGTAGCTGGAACAAACCCATCAAAAGACAAAGAGCAAAGAAAATAAATAGCTATGTGATCAACATATTAAAGAAATATTCCTAGTAGTATGAAGGTTGACTTAACCTTCATACTGATAGAACTGCAAAATGCCAGAAAAGATTCCAGTGTAAGATCTCTAACTTTAAGGAGAATTATTTCAGAAAATTAAATGGAAGATGCAATTGAAAACACAGTTGAGAACACTGGTTAACTTTGACATTGGTCCTTTCTGGAGGCGGCCATTTAAAGTAAAAGGCAAACTGCAATGTCTTTGGAAAAGATTTTACCGTGCTTCTCTGCAATACTGCCTTCTTGTAGGCTCAGTATTGCACTATGCATCCCAAGCTACAAACCGTTTGTGAAACATCTTAGTATCTTCTCTACTTCTACACCCTGCCCTTGTAATATTTTTAATTGATACTAAAGAAAAAGACGGGGTTTAGATTGACCTTTTTTGTTAGCTTTTGGGTTTTTTTGGGGGTTTTTTTGTTTGTTTGTTTGGGGTTTTTTTGTGGTTTTGTTTTGTTTTGTTTTGTTTTGTTTTGGTTTTTGTCTGATCTAGTATGAGTGCTCTTATGTTTACCCTTTTATGTCATACTCTTTTAGAAATTTTCTAAGGTTCATCTTAAGGTTGGGCACTGTTGCCCAGAGCGGGTGTGGAATACTCCCTGGAAGTGTTCAGCGCCAGGCTGGATGGGGATTTTGTTTTGTTTTGTTTTTTGTCTGATCTAGTGTGAGTGCTCTTATGTTTACCCTTTTATGTCATACTCTTTTAGAAATTTTCTAAGGTTCATCTTAAGGTTGGGCACTGTTGCCCAGAGCGGGTGTGGAATACTCCCTGGAAGTGTTCAGCGCCAGGCTGGATGGGGATTTGAGCAACCTGGTCCAGTGGGAGGTGTCCCTGCCCATGGCAGGGGGGTTTGGAACTAGATGACCTTTAAGTATTTCCAACCCAAACCATTCTATGATTCCATGAGCTCTGTATACTGGTAATGAGATACAGGGCTCTATCTCACTTATCACTAGCTCAATAAATCACATCCAAACTGAATGACCCATCAGTCAATCTCATAGCAGGATGAATTTGTTCTGTCACACTTCAATTTTGGTGGACCTTGGTGATATAAATGCTACAGTGACAACAGTATTGAGATCCTAAGCCTGTAAACAAATCTATGGAGACTTCTACTGCCTAACACACACAGAGACCAGCCTGCATGAGAGCAAGTTTGTGTGGACAGATTTGCTTTCTGATTGCCTGGGATCCTCACAACAGCCAGTAAGGAAGGTGTCACATAATTTTAAAAAGAAAACTGCTGTTTTCTTTCTTCCACATATTTTATGTAATATGTCATGTTTCAGTTCAGGTAACTCATGAATTATCTGGAGAGTCAGCGGAAAAATTGTCTCTTTTCTTCTCTTTCTTCTCCTGCAGAACAATGAAACCTTCAGAAAAAGACTACATTTTGCAGCAGAGCACTTTAAACAGATCAGGAAAGCAAAACCAGGAAGAAATGCAGGCAGAGAGACTGCAGTTATTTGCATCAATTGGCAACAGTCAAATAATGCTGAGGAACTGACAAAATAAATCACACTGTAATTTCATTTCTTTTAATTTATTTATGAAGAAATTATGTATGAAGGCATACACAGGAAGAACAATAAAGCTGCATAGTCAGGAACACATAAACTACCGTTGAAATGACAGCTGCCCTTGCAGCTTTATTGTGGTCTTTTTGTTCGTATGCATTATGGTGTAGCTGTTTAACTTCATATGGGGAGTCCTGCTAACTCAGAAGATGCCATTATCAGTATAGAGAACTGTATTATGCCTTCACAGAAAAAAAAA